GTAGGAGTTGAAAATGAAGTATAAAGTAAGTATGAGGTTTATTCCTTGTATGTAATTTGTTTTTGTTATTTCCTTAATTATTCTTTTTTTTCGATCAAAACAAGTGAAGTGATTATACAGGGAAGAGAATCCAATTGGTTCGCGCTGCGTTGCGTGTCCCACATAAGCTGGGACTTGCTGGGTGAAAGGAGGAGATTGCAGTGTGATATTTGCGTATTTGTCCAGTCATGCACAAAAACGCATCCGGCCTTCATGGAACACGCAAACAGTGAATGGTGGACACTCGATGCCGGCTTCGCTGCGGTACTTTACGCCTTTGTCACCACAGCACCGCTGAGGTTTTCCTGGATTTGGATCGTTCGCCAACTGGACGTCTGGCTCGGTATGGGTCACGAACTAGGACAACCGTTTGCACGGAACTTTGCGCTATTTAGAATTCCTGTAGTTAAGGGCCATTCAACAAATGTGTCCGAATTGGCTGTTGAGGCTGAAAGGGAGGGGATATGAAAAAAACGGTGAAAGCAATATTAGTTCATTTACGCCGTCTGCTATGAAAGTGCAGAACGCAAATTACTCTCAATTAAGGATATGCCATCGCTCACTATTTTCACCTGCTTTATGTTTTCTTGCCTGCTCTACTGATTGAATTTATATATCTCCATAGAGATTATAGTATAAGTCAGATGAAAGTATTTATTTATATTTTGCAACCTCCTTTAAGAGTTTGAGACCTCTGCGTCATTATTCAAGAAGATCTTATCAGTCCTTTCGTCAGAATGCGTTTTTACCGCCCATAAAAATATCTTCTTTCATGAAAGTATCACGAAAGCGACACTAAAAAACGCAAGACGCACAATGAAGGAAATGCTCATTCCTTTCTTCATTCTCTTCAACTGACTCAGACTTCCTGTACGCAACATCGCAGCGCTGTTACCATTCATACGATGGAAAAGCTTTTTCACAAACTTATTTCACAAACATTTTTCACAATGTTAGCCAGCAGCTTTTGCCTCATTCTTTTGGATAATACTGAATTGGAAGAGGCAAAACTCTGGATTTTAATGAGTTAGAGAGGATATCACGCTTAAATGTGATTCAGAAATTCCAAATTCTTGAGGCGATATTATGAGTGCATGCACGTGTACTTCCCACCTACGTTCCTCTATGCCACTCTAGACTCTTACATCTCGTAATACTCCATAGAAGAATAAAAGACTTTTAGAACAGTGAATATCCGGCTTAGAGAGTAGCAAAGTGTGAAAGATGCTACACTTGTACTCTATTTTTTGTTCCAATCATCAAAGTACCAATCTTTGTGATCTTCGAGCTTAACTTTTCTTCCATAAACATCACAGTGAGCTACATGCTGTTATTGGACTGAGCGGCTAAAATGCTATGTGCTCTACACATGAGTCTTGTCCCATGTTTTGTCTTGATGGCTTTGGAAAGGTGCATTTCTATTATCTGAACTGTCCAATCAGAGTAGATTTAACCTATGTATTTTTGTTAGTTATTATGTTTATGCCGCTGAAGGCAATTTCTTGCATTTTCTCGTTGATTTCATCCTCCTAAAAAGCTATTTTCGGTGCGCACAACATATCACTTTAAGAAGTTCGCACGTTCTCATACACAATTCCCTGTTATGTCCTCGGCATTTTCCTTTATTTACTCAAAAGCTTCAAATACATAGAACTTTTGAGTGTGTCGTCCTCTCTGCCTATGAACTGTGACTAGTGCAGTAGAATGAATTTCATTCGTCGGGCGGAGGCTAAGGGCAACTGCCGGACGCGTATCCTTCTGCTATCATATAAATTGCAATTAGCGAGTTATGAGCACTCAACTACTACATCGAGTGCGCAGAGGAACAGCTATGCCCTGTGAAGCCCCCGGGGTTCCCAACGTTTGCTGTCGTTCTTACGTAAAATGCTTGGGAGATCCAGTCTCTGCGTTCATGAGTGCTCATAGCGAATTCTTTTAGCTTTATTTTTGTATGCGCCGTAGAGTAGCGGGGCGACTTGCGACAATATTCCCAGTAATATCTGTTTGCAGCCTAAAAACAACGCATTCATGCATACTTCACTAACTAACAATCGCGCTCTTCACACTTTTCTGTCGCTGTAGCTTCTGTTGACTGTGTAGGCATT